TGGAGAGTTAGAGCTGTTTGTGTCTCAGCTACCATTATTCATTTATAGCATTGCTATGCATGAACTGTTTGCTGTGGGATTTATAATTTAATTTCCAGTGTTTGGTGTCACTTGAATTAATTTTTCTACACTTTGGTCATTATTTTCTTTCAGTTATCATTTCGAGGGGCAATATCTGTAGAACAGATCCATTTTTCAGATTTATTGTTGAACTATTTCTAGTGTTGCTCTGCCAAAAAAAGGGTTGGAAAGCACAAAAAAAAAAAAAAACGTTTGACATGAATCAGGTCCTGGTAGATTATTTGAGGATCCTTCTCAGTAGTAGAAGGGGGCTGAATATGTTTTTGGTATCAATTGGTATTGATCCTGACTGCAGTGGAGGCATCCTCCCTGAGAAATTCTAATTCAGATGCATTTCTTGTTTAAATGAAATACCACGTGCCTCAAATACTGTTAAGCAATTTACCCCCCTTCAATAGCTGTTGCCCAAAGGTCAGATTAGTTAGAAAAGAGAAAAAAAGAAGGTAAATTAAATAAATTCAATTTCACCCCTTCAGACACTGCAATCAGAATCATGTTGTGCAAACTACTTTAATCAAAGCTGCAGCCCTGTTACCGCTGTGTGACCAACGGAGAATTCATTGTGACTGTAAATGTATCTGTGTGCTTTAATAAGGCAATTTCTTGGAGTTTAGCAGTCAAGATTAACAAAGCCCCTGTGGTGCATTCAGACTCAGGTGGTGATTAGAAGAACCGTTTGATTTCCATATGAAGGACCGAACCAAAGAGAAGTGGCTCAGGTTGGAATGTTCTTTAAACCAGGCTCATTTTTGTCAAGAGGACGAGCTTTAACCGTACAAAACATCTACTTAACCCTGACATTTATACAATTTTAAAAACAAATTCTATTTGGTCTATTTTCCAAAAATAACAGACTCATTGCATGTACTTTATAAAGTATTTCTCAACAGTGTCTGAACTGCTAATGTTTTTACTATCAACTGACATACAGTAAAGGTCCTGGAGAATGATCTGGATATTAAAATTTAAAAGAAATTTAATCTGGTCCTGACCTAGATTTAAATGGCAAGAAATAAATGGAAAACTGATGCTTAAATAGAAATCGTTTTACTTTTCTATAGCAAAAAAAATAAACATAAGAAAATGTAACTCCAACATCTTTGTTACATGTGTAGCAGGTTTGGTGTTCATTCAACAACCAAATGAGAAGTTTTAGATGTTTAGATTGAAACAAATCCAGGCAGGAATGCTTTTATATATTTGCTCATAAAACTACATTTTTTTCCCCAAAACCAAAACAAGTTTCTTTTTTTTTTTTTTTTTAAGCACCCTTTATTTAATTACACAATACTCTAATTACCCAAAACTACAATTACACAATAATATATACAAAGGGATGTAGAAGAGCCTCAAACAGGAAGCTTCAGGTTTTTAGAAAGGTCACATTCTACTGAATCCAATGATATGGACCAATCTGAGATAGACAGAAGCAGCAGCAAATCAAAGGCGAGAGTAGCAGAGATCCACGTGAATTACATACAGGCACAGTTTCCATATATGGGCATGCCGTTGCACCTTATGCCGGTTAGACTAAGAAGCTTTTAGCTGAATAATAAGCCATCAGATGGAAATATTTATTTCGGAAACTGAATTTTATTTGGATGAAAATATCTTCCGGATAGCTGTTATGTGCTGTAGTCTGTTTTTGCTGATGTTTTTTGAGGATTTTGTCGAGTCGTCAGTTGCAAATAATCAGAGCTTTGCTAATGAGTTTGACTACGGCCGATTGAGTGCCTTGTTGGCTTTCATCAGCAATGCATCATTTGGCGCTGCCATGTGTATTGTTGAAACCAGGCTCACAGACACACAAACTTGGTCGTATACTGTATTTTGGCTATCTGAATGCTTTTTGTGGATATATGAATAAAGTAGAGACTCTTGTAGAGGAGTCTTGGATGACTATCTGGACATAGGAGAAGTGTGTTTCAGTTTCAGAACGAATCAGCTAAAGGATTATCATCCAGCCCCCTTTAAACGTGGCACATACAGGCTTATGGGGTTTAAATTGGGGTGGAACTCCTGCTATTAGGCGCAAACATGCAAATGTCTTGCTATTAGGAGGTTTGCATGGAAACCTCCTAATAGCAGACTGAAGGAGAAGATAATAATAAACAGAACTGCAGGATAAAAACTCTAAAATTCCTGACACTGAGAACAACATGTGCTCACATTACAACGGTACATTTTATTCATCAGACGACATTGGAGGATATTTTTCCAGATAAAGCAATCTGTCACCACTGTCAAAGTTCTCTAATTTCCCCAAATGGGACTAGATAAGTAAATGCGGATGCATCAGAGGAAAGCAGAGGAGTGCTTGTTAGAAAGATATATTTCACTGCCTAATTATATAAAAATCTGGGATGGAGTTATGCGTAAGGGGACATTTGTTTTTTCGCTTTTCAAACTAATCAGACAGACTGGAAGACACATTCAGCCAACCATGGCCATGATGACAGTTAAGACAACAAAGTCTCATCTGTTTTACCGCAGAAAGTTGTCCCCCCCCCTCAGTAGATCCCTACGACTCTGCAGGAATGTGTGTTTTGCTTAAGTTCTCCTTCAGTAAACTGATCTCACAAATATACCCCCATTTTAGGACCGTCTGTAGGAGACGATCAAAACACTTGTAAAATACCAAATACTTGATTAGATTAAATAATTATGGTATAAAAGATTCAATAATACACTGCCCGACCAAAAATAGGTTGCCACCAAAATATGTGTCACACTTAAATTTCATTGGACCACCTCTAGATTTGATTATGGCATTATGTGTTGCGTAATATTTTACCAAGATCTGGCATTAATGATGGTAGAGTGTGCCTTCTGCAGCACATCCCAAAGATTTTTAACTTGGTTGTTTCTGCATTCTCCTTAGATGTTTTCTCTGCTTCATTCATGCCAATGATTTGACCCTTCTGAAACACCGACATCTTTTCCAAAACCACTGGATGTTTCTTTTGACATGGTAGTAATTATCCACTGGAAGGCTTGTACCTGTTGGCTTATTTAATTCCATGTGGCAGCTTTTATTTGGCCAGGCAGTGTAACATCAGTAGAAGGGGTATTTTGTTAGCAAGAAAAATTATTCACATGAAAATTAAATCCTAAATACAGAGAATGAAGAAAGTTTAGATTAGATTCTAGTTTTTTTTTTCTGTATTGTGCAATATGTTTGGGTGTTTGCATCACCAAGAAAAAACATTGAGACATGGCTATAAGCAGTCTTTTTTATTGCCCAGAACATGATGTGGCGTCCTTCTGTACAGCCTGGTCTAACATCACCCACTGTTTTATTGCTGCACATGTTAATCTTCGGCTAATAAAGCTGCCTTTTTGCAGTGGCTGCTGTTCACATCTTTAAATCTCTTTGCTTCTTGCTTGTGTGGGTTTTATGCACTGAAAAAAATTGCGTTTGCAGATTTTTCCAGATGTTATTTAAAAGCTTTATAAATTCCTAAATCGTTATTTGTTGTTTCGTGTCTCTAGTATGTGATTTTTTTTCTACATCAAATATTGTCACTTAAAATCTAAGTGAACCATGGTCAACTAAGGTTACAAAGGTTGCAAGTAAAAGGAAATTGCAGTTTTTGATGATATCAAAGCAGTATTATAAATCATATTTTAGATTAGACTATATGGTTTCTATCAAGATAATCTACATTTTAGGACATTAAATAATATGTATTATTAATTATTTTGCCCGTTTGACATTCGGGACAAAGCTCTGATTCATATGTGTCTTTTAATACTGTTTTATAGAACAAATAAATATTTTACTATATATCACATATTGCCATGTTTTTTTGTTAACCAAAAGTCAAAATTGTGATTACTTTCAAACAGTACTGTATTGCGATTTCTAAAATGATTCTTTCCTTTGCACTAGCCACAGGCATGTAGATGTTTCATTTCAGGGTTTCAGTTTTTTCATGACCCAATCCTCCTTGATATTTTTAATCCTTATGGATTTTTAATCCTCATGGATTAAAAATATTAAGATATTTCATTTGGTAGCAGGAATTGAATTAATGTCTCGTTATTGATCATTTTTTTGCATGTAAATCATTTCAACAATTCTAAAGTCATACCATGTTAACTATCCATAAAGTGATGCTGGACAGTCAGGAGTTTGATGGCTTTGGTGAACTGAAAGATGATGCTACTATGGTTGCAAATTGTTTTTATGAAGTAAGCTTTGCACTGAAGCTATAAAATCATTGAAACTGCTGTTGATGTTTATTAGACTGTTGATCTGTGAGATTAAATTAAACAACAATAGAATCCACTTAGAAGCAAAAAAAAATGTCATAGCAGAGAAGAACTAAAGCAGAAAATAAAAAAATCCATCTGATTTTTGCATTAGCTTCCTTTTTGTTTTTGCCATTTTTTCATTTATTTACAGTGTCAAGGTTGTATTTTAAAAGAGAGGTTTAGCATTTAATGCACGCCGACCGCATTTCTGCATCCTTATGTTTTATTTCCCAGTCTATTTATCAGCTTCCTGTTGCCTGCCAGCAGTTTAAGGTAATTTATTTACACAAATGTGCCAGTACAAAAAAAAAATCAGGGCTATTTGAAAGATCCTATTCATTACCATTCAAGGATTCTGTAGGTTTACCATGAAAATATGGCACATCCTGCCTTTAGGTTCCTTTAAGTGCTGCATAATGAAAGGTTAGCAGTCTGTTCTACCTAGATATTCAAAGAGGCAGATGCTTTTACTTCCACCGACTGGATTCAGCCTTTCAGATTTGCAGTTTAGAGAACTCGTAAGTTTTGTTATCACTTTGTAAAGCAGCCAGACAACATTCCAGTTAATGAAGGTGTGGGAGGATCCAACCATTCAGTAATCTGAATGTAATCTACTGTCTACTATTTCCTTTAGTTTCCCATGCGTTCCTTTGTGTGTGCAGGTCGCAGGGTCCTCGCATGATGTCCAGATACACAGGTGAGCAGCTCTCCAGCACCACTGTGAGTGAGGCCTCCACCGCCATCACCTCCTCCACTGTGGACTCCACGTCTGCCTCAAAGGTTGGTGGACATGACTGTGCTTGTCTATAAGATCAATGCGCTCGGGTCAGGCATCACCCTATGACCGCAAACATCGTAGATTTACTCAGTGACAAACTGATTGACTATAATCAGCTTCACCACAAATTGACATGAGTGTGCATAAGATCCTTTTCCTTCAAATTTTGTGGTTCAAATATTTAGTTCAGAAAGATCTCTCTTTGTAATTTTATGTTGCTGTATATGGGATAAAACAAATATGTAAGGGTCTACTTTCGTTCTGCTGTATTAAGTTATAACCAGGTGAACAAGCAAACAGTCAACCAAACATTCAGCTGTAAAAGGTTTTCTGTTTTTCCTTCAGGCTCCTAATTTACCGGTGTCCAGTAGTGCTTCGCTGTTTTTACCTTTTTACAGAACAGATGCTTGTCTTATTGTTTCATGCAAAGCGACTTGTATCATTTTTTTTATGCCATCTAAAAACAGTGCACTGCATCAGTGCTGTTGTACACACCAGGCCAGACTAAACACGGCTGGGGAAGCTAACTTACTTCCTGTTGGTTACTAGGCTATCAGCTGTCTTTTCTTTTTCTTCCTCCAAGCTCATGAAGTCTAAAGGTAAATACCAACTCATCTGCAAGGAATGTCATTATTGGCTGTCCTACAAGTCGCTGCATGATGTCATTACCTAATTTGAGTATTAAGGAATGTGCATAGATCATATCAATCCTTCTCCCAAGTGTCCAAAGTAACACTGTTGGGCTAATTTGTTTCTCTAAAATGTCCCATGAGGTCATCATTGTGTGTACTGTGTGTGCACAGTGACAGGGGGAAGGGTGATGTTCATGCTTGCATTTGTTGAACAGACAAAATAAATCCCCCTGTGGAGGAAATGTCCCAGACCAAGTGTTAAAAAATGCAAAGAAATATTGTATACCAAGAGGACTACAGTTTGAGTAACGCTCCGGAGTAGAGCTGCATCTAACGACTATTTCCCAAATCATTTAATCTGTCGATAATTTTTTTTTCTTCGATTAATCAGTTAATAATAGGATAGCAAAAGGTTCTTTAAAGAAGAACTTTTATAAAGTTAAACCAGGTGGAACTAAAACTTTTTCACTT